GCCCGTAAAATAGCGCGCGCACCAATGAGCTTGTATGAGCGCGCTGACCGCGAACAGCCAAAATTCAAAAGTAATCCATAGTTCCGGTTCCCAGCTGGCCTGGTGATTTTTTCTTCTGAAACCATTGATTGTTAATTATTTTGATTGTTTTTTTTGTTGAGTTTGATTTTGTTTTGTTGAGTTTGATTTTGTTGTGAGGAAATTGCTCAGGATTCAATTTCTACGGTTTCATAGGTAGCTTTTGCAATGGATTCTTTTCTAGATTTTGCGGATTAGTGGATTGGGATTTATCTAGACCAGATGAGGAGGGTTTGGTGGGCGCAAGAGTCTGAAGTTTTTTGTGTGTAGGAAAGGACGGCAAACAATTTTCACCAATATTTTTTTCATAGTTCTTGTTAGCATAGCTTCGATAGTGTCAGTCATACGTATTATTGCTCATTCTACAATCGTCCCTTTTGAAGCTTCTTTTCACTTGTACCGTGTATCACCGCTCTCTCCACTTCAACATGGGCCATGCGTTTACGACCCCCCCTCCATCGCGGGCAAATACGACCCCCCCCCCTTTTGTGATCGACAAAATAGGCGGCGTGCCCTGGTCCGTACGACCTCCCCCCTACCAGGTGCCTTACTACGACCCCCAGCCCCCTAGTCCCCTCTTACCCTTCCTCTGATACGACTGAACTTCGAGCTGTCGAGCCTTCCCAACTTCCTACCACTTTTCCGGAATTTCCCGGAAATCTTCCCACTTTGTTCCTAAGTTCTTCTCTTTCCAAAAAAAATTTTCAAAATTTCTGAAGATTTTTTCCGAGCAGAGTCTGCGGAGAATGGGTGTCCGTTTCCTCCCGTATTTCATTAGTAAATTTCTTAGCAGGGTAGTATACGAAGTATCTCGTTTGGCAAGTTATTCCAAAGCACTGAAACTGGTACCTGTCTTGTTGAGTGACTACCCAAGAATGGAACTACGAGTCCAAACTTTTCCAAAGCTATTAAGAGACAGGTGAAAGTTCTGAGACAATAGCTCTCCTCCAAAATCGTGGGCCTGCAGTTTCGTCTCGTATTTGGCCCGAGAAAAAACTGATAGATTTTCCCCTCAACCTCCCTCCTCCCCGTTTCACGCGCACTGTGCATAACCTCCTGGTGGGGGTTGTCACGCTTTCTCCTCAATCCCCTCCTAGCCCGGGACAGTTGGCTAATTCTTGAGAAATTCGGTGTTCCGCACCCCGATAATTAACAATAAAGGTGCGAGGCGGCGCCGTGGGCGCAGGTCCCGCGACGACGAACACTTTTCGGCGTACCGTAGTCACCAGCAGTGTTCTGCTTTTCTTTTTCGCTTTATTTAAAATTAAATTACTGGTACTTATTTGTTTGGTCTGTTCTTTTTTACAAGTTAACAGTGTGATGGCATGCATGAAGCTTTCTGGATGTTCATAAATTGTTGACATTAAACCTATAATAACCCTTAAATTTAGGCCACGTAGTTGAGCTTCTTTAACTTTTGGGTTTTTTTTTCTAGAAGGTTGCTTGCTGAAATCTGAAAGCCGCTGAATGAAAATTGTAAAGGGGCCTCCGATATCTTGTACTCTTGTTTGAGTGTTGTCTTTATTAAAATAGAACAGTTTTTGCTTGGTTTCCCTTACTTCCGTTAATATTGTAGCAGTAAGTTCAAAGTTTTTCCCAGGTAACTTTATCGAGAAAGGTTAACTCCAGGGTACCACTACCCTTTACTTCCTCCCGCTCTCTTTATATTTCCCGCCAAATGTTTCGTACGCTAATTGTTTCTTCCTTTATGTTATGTTTCCTTCACTTAATTTTGTTTCACTTTAAGAAAACAATGATTGTGGTACATTGTTCAAACCTGTTATTACAAAAGAACTTCCGTACAATGCCACTATTTTTAAGGTAATATGGTGAACGTACCGAAGGCCAGAAGGACGTTCTGCGACGGCAAATGCCGTAAGCACACGAATCACAAAGTTACCCAGTACAAGAAGGGAAAGGAATCGAAGTTCGCTCAAGGTATGCTCTTCAACTATTAAATGTTTTGACAGAAACCTGTCATTTTTCATGTCTCAGTCCTTTATGAAAAGCACTGGCACTGCTATTCTCATGCAACGCTAATTTTTTTCCAAATTTTCACTGCGGTGCACTCTGCGGTATTCTCATTACAAACTCGACAGTAATACCGGGCGTGGAAATTGCGCGCCTGAGTAAAAGATGAATGCCCTGAATAAAATCGGGACGCTGAACACCTTGTAGCAGCGAATTTCCAGCATTTATTTCTTCAAGTTTTTGGGGTTGCAATGTCGTCTACCTCAAACTG